GCAACTCTAAGTTCGTTGGAGCAGAATGATTTTCGCCTGATGCAGTGTATTTTTGCTCTCTGTCTGCAGATGTATTAAAGATCTTTTTGCTCCCTGATTTTTTTCTTTACCTCAGTCTCTGAATTGTGCAACTTCACAGTATTTTTTCCATCTCAGCCTCACAGTTAATGGTGAGACACTTTTATATTGCTTGAATCAAACTTATGTGGTCTTTATTTTCTCTAATAATGTTTGTTTTATTTCCAATAGACTCATTTCCTAATAATACTCCAGCAGATGAAGGTTGGAGCCAGTCTGCAGTGACTCTTCCTTCTGCTTTGACTGCTGCAGGTTTCTTGGTTGTCATATTTTCAGTTATTCTGGGATTAATCTGCAGAAGACGTCCACAACGGTGAGAAACTAATTCAATATTCATAATTTCTTTTACCTCAATTCAAGCTTTATAACTGAAGCTCCAGATTTCAAATTTCACTTACAATCTTTGTCTGCATCTTCAATATGATTGTTTTATTTTGAATCTAAACTTTTGTATCTTTGAACATATTTTCTTAAACTTAAATAGTGAGTGTATTAACATAATACACTCACTATTATACATTGTTATGTTATATTGAACTTTCACGTAAATCTGGAGTTTATTTCAGTTTTAAAGCGCCTGTCTAAACGCTGAAACATCTGGATCGTCTGCACAAGGAGAAACTGCTACTGTAGTGAGTAAATATCCTTATTTTATAAGTAACTATTTTCAGATTGTCACAAAATAGACTAGAAAATACAGGAAGAACATGTTTTCCTTTTACTCTGTAAAAAACTGTCTTAAAACTTTACCTCTAAATTTAGATTTTACATCCATTCATCTAGTGGTGGTTTTATGACATCCAGTACTACTAGTAACATTACAATCACTAGATGGCACAATACTTACTTTTCCTGTATACTGAAATAGTGAGTGTATTAACATAATCGATAGTCAGAAACGTCTGTGCCGTTTCCTAACCAGCTGCACATCATTTCCTGTCAACATCATATTTAACTTGATGACGTTTCTGATTAATTCTGGTTCAATAAACAGATTGTTTCAGCTCCAATAAAGGAGCAGTGACAGAAATCCAAAAATCTTTATTGCATGTGCTTTACAGAATGACCACAGATGGCACTGTTTCCATCAGGCCCAACTGCACCATTCTGCCAACTGACCCTGCTTCATCAGGCTGAACATCCACAGTATGGACAGTATGGACAGCCAGGACATGTTGGACACTATGGACAGCCAGAAAGCCTCACACTGGGTGACATTGTTTTATCTGCAGACAACAAGGACAGTGAGCCAGAGACTGCTTCCAGAGACGATTCAAACCTCAACCAGGAGGCTGAAGGTTGCACAGGGGCCGAGGAGGAAGATTTGATGGCAACCAGGAAGCTTCCCCAGGGGGTCAAGGCTTTCCTTTCAGAGGTGGATTTACAGGACATCGTGGAGGGTGTTCCACCTGACTATACCAGGTTCTGTTGTAATGCAAATTTGACTGACTTGTAATTCTGATGGCGTCCAATGTGTTTTTGTGTCTGTTTCATGTTGGAGTGAATGATTGTTTACGTGTTATGTTTGTCTCAGTGTTCTGTGTTTTCATGCGCATGCGAAGAAGATAAAAACACAATCTTATTTGCAGGATTTCACAAACATTGCAATGGGACCACCGATGAAACCTGGAATTATTTCAACAACATGTAATGACAACATGATTAACTTCTGTATTTCTCTTACAGATCAATTAAAGACGGCAGGCCTAAAGAGGACGACCCGTGCCAGCGGGCAAACAATTACATAACTTACTGCCTAGAGATTTTGTGTTTCTTAAAAATTTCAGGAAGAAGAACTGATGACCGCAGTGAAGATTGTGGATTCTCTGAAATCCACCTGGGTCGTCAACAGCCATTGGCGAGAAGTTCACTGGGGAATCGAATCGCTCAGAATCCCACCAAGGGGATTCCAACAAAGTATCCCTGAAAAAATAGGGATACCACCGACGGCACACTCAGTAGGTGGTCTACCTAGCTGAGGCAGCATGGAGAACATGGTTGGGATGGGACATCGACGCAGAACAACACCAACGTGGATTAAGGATGCCATACTTCATAAACCACAACTCTCCTGATGTTGAGATTGAGTTTATTTTATCTTTGCATTCTTCAGAAGTGTAACATTTTTCCATTTCTTGTTTTGCTTTACTTAACATCAACAGAAGACAAAACTCTTCCTGAAACTCCTGTGATGTTTATATTTTGAACCATTGCTTAATGACCAATGTAGACTGATGTGCTGTGTTTCTCAACTGTCTTCTAGCACTTTTACTTCATTTTATACTTCATTTGATCATTTCTATGTTTCATTTACTTAGTTATTTGTTTGCTACCCATTAGAAAAAAAGAGTGAAGTTGTGAAGTAGATTTTTCTTTAAAGAGAAAATCTTTTATTTGCATCATACAGTGTAGCAATAGTAGAGATGATTTTTCGTGCAGCTGCAGAGAGGGTGTACAAACTAATTGAAAAAGATGTTTCTGGGATCTTGCTGTTTTTCCCGTGTTCTTCCCTGCATGTAGATGGTGTTCACATTTCACATCCTGTAGACATGATAGTGAATGAGCGTACAACATTGTTTCTTTTTTCCTTTGTTTCTTTTGTTTGTTCTTAGAAGATTGAGTCTCCGCCTCTGTTATCAGAGAGGTGAATAAAGCAACTATGCAACTCTGAGTTCGTTGGAGCAGAATGATTTTCGCCTGATGCAGTGTATATTTGCTCTCTGTCTGCAGATGTATTAAAGATCTTTTTGCTCCCTGACGATTTTCTTTACCTCAGTCTCTGAATTGTGCAACTTCACAGTATTTTTTCCATCTCAGAATCACAGTTAATGGTGAGACACTTTTATATCGCTTGAATCAAACTTATATGGTCTTTATATTCTCTAATAATGTTTGGGTTTTTTTCTAATAGACTCATTTCCTAATAATAATTCCAGCAGATGAGGTTTGGAGCCAGTCTGCAGTGACTCTTCCTTCTGCTTTGACTGCTGCAGGTTTCTTGGTTGTCACAGTTTCTGTTATTCTGGGATTTATCTGCAGAAGACGTCCACAACGGTGAGAAACTAATTCAATATTCATAATTTCTTTTACCTGAATTCAAGCTTTATAACTGAAGCTGCAGATTTGAAATTTCACTTACAATTTTTATCTGCATCTTCAATATGATTGTTTTATTTTAAATCTAAACTTTTGTTTGTTTGATCATATTTTCTTAAACTTTACCTCCAGATGTTATATTAAACTTTCATGTAAATGTGGAGTTTATTTCAGTTTTAAAGCCCTGTCTAAGAGCTGAAACCTCCGGATCGTCTGCACAAGGAGAAACTGCTACTGTAGTGAGTAAATATCCTTATTTTATCAGTAACTATTTGAAGATTGTCACAAAAAAGTCTAGAAAATACAGGAAGAACATGTTTTCCTTTTATTCTGTAAAAAAATGTCTTAAAACTTTACCTCTAATTTTAGATTTTACATCAGTTCTTCTAGTGGTGGTTTTTATATTGACACCCAGTACTACTAGTAACATGACATTCACTAGATGGCACAATACTTACTTTTCCTGAATACTTCAATAGTGAGTTTATTAACATAATCGATAGTCAGAAACGTCACTAACGTTTCCTAACCAGCTGCGCATCATTCCTGTCAATATCATATGTAACTGGAGGAAGTTTCTGATTAATTCTGGTTCAATAAACAGATTGTTTCAGCTCCAATAAAGGAGCAGTGACAGAAATCCAAAAATATCTATATTGCATGTGCTTTACAGAATGACCACAAGATGTCACTGTTTCCATCAGGCCCAACTGCACCATTCTGCCAACTGACCCTGCTTCATCTGCCTGTCCTGAACATGCACAGCCAGGACAGTATGGACAGTATGGACAGCCAGGTCAGTATGGACAGTCAGAAAGCCCGACACTGGCTGATGTTTGTTTTTATCTGCAGACATCAAGGACATTGAGCCAGAGACTGCTTTCAGAGACGATTCAAACCTCAACCAGGAGGCCGAAGGTTGCACAGGGGCCGAGGAGGAAGATTTGATGGCAACCAGGGAAGCTTCCCCAGAGGGTCAAGGCTTTCCTTTCAGAGGAGGATTTACAGGACATCGTGGAGGGTGTTCCACCTGACTATACCAGGTTCTGTTGTAATGCAAATTTGACTGACTTTTAATTCTGATGGCGTCCAATGTGTGTTTGTGTCTGTTTCATGTTGGAGTGAATGATTGTTTACGTGTAATGTTTGTCTCAGTGTTCTGTGTTTACATGCGCATGCGAAGAAGATAAAAACACAACATTATTTGCAGGATTTCCCAAACATTGCAATGGGACCACCGATGAAACCTGGAATTATTTCAACAACATGTAATGACAACATGATTAACTTCTGTATTTCTCTTACAGATCAATTAAAGACGGCAGGCCCAAGGAGGACGACCCGTGCCAGCAGGCAAACAATTACATAACCTACAGCCTGGAGATTTTTTGTTTCTTAAAAATTTCAGGAAGAAGAACTGATGACCGCAGTGAAGGTTGTGGATCTTTATAAATCCACCTGGGTCCTCACCAGCCACTGGCGAGAAGTTCACTGGGAAATCAAATCGCCCAGAATCCCACCAAGGGGATTCCAACAAAGTATTTCTGAAAAAATAGGGATACCACCGACGGCCCACTCAGTAGGTGGTCTACCCAGCTGAGGCAGCATGGAGAAAATGGTCGGGATGGGACATCGCTACAGAACAACACCTACATGGATTAAGGTTGCCGTACTTTATAACCCACAACTCTCCTGATGTTGAGATTGAGAATGTTTTTTATTTCCAATAGACTCATTTCCTAATAATAATCCAGCAGATGAAGTTTGGAGCCAGTCTGCAGTGACTCTTCCTTCTGCTTTGACTGCTGCAGGTTTCTTGGTTGTCATGTTTTCAGTTATTCTGGAATTTATCTGCAGAAGACGTCCACAACGGTGAGAAACTAATTCAATATTCATAATTTCTTTACCTCAATTCAAGCTTTATAACTGAAGCTCCAGATTTCAAATTTCACTTACAATCTTTGTCTGCATCTTCAATATGATTGTTTTATTTTGAATCTAAACTTTTGTATCTTTGAACATATTTTCTTAAAATTTACCTCCAGATTTTATATTGAACTTTCATGTGAATCTGGAGTTTATTTCAGTTTTAAAGCGCCTGTCTAAGAGCTGAAACCTCCGGATCGTCTGCACAAGGAGAAACTGCTACTGTAGTGAGTAAATATGCTTATTTTATAAGTAACTATTTTCAGATTGTCACAAAAAGGACTAGAAAATACATCAAGAACATGTTTTCCTTTTATTCTGTAAAAAAATGTCTTAAAACTTTACCTCTAATTTTAGATTTTACATCCATTCATCTAGTGGTGGTCTTTATGACATCCAATACAACTTGTAACATCTCAATCACTAGATGGCACAAAACTTACTTTCCTGAATACTTAAATAATGAGTGTATTAACATAATTGATAGTCAGAAACATCATTTCCTGTCAACATCATATTTAACTGGAGGAAGTTTCTGATTAATTCTGTTTCTATAAACAGATTGTTTCAGCTCCAATAAAGGAGCAGTGACAGAAATCCAAAAATATCTGTATTGCATGTGCTTTCCAGAATGACCACAAGATGGCACTGTTGCTCTAAGGGAGAGAATTTAATTTAGGAACTAAACTGCACTGTATGCAAACACTGATCTTTGCATTTAAGCAACAATTCAAAAGTGAAAAAGGAAAAAAAATTGATAAGAACTAAATGATTAATGTATCTATTTACTCCTGTCTTTTATTAAACAGTTATTTAAACGTCTTTTCCCAACAGAGACATTAAATTATGTTTCACTTGACTTTGGCCTTTTGGCCTTTCTTATTACTATATTTTGTCTTTTATTGTTCAGGATGAACTGTACTCAAGTCTCCCACAACAAACCAGAGACATTTATCAAACTGTCTCCTTTGGTCACCATCAGTATAAATCAGAAACAAATGTCACTGACGGGCTGGGAAACATTTATGAAAACATTTTGAATTAAAGATCTGTCTTGATGAATACAACAGGATTTCCTCGTTATGTTGTACTTCACAACCTTTCTGTTAGTTTGCATGTTGAACTTTAACACAAAAAATCATTTATTTTTTGGGCATTTTTACTTATTTCTACTTGATTTTGCTTTTATGTCATGTTTCTGACATATCTGGTGTGTTTTTTTTTTTCTGTAAACAGCTCCCACATTTTTATTTTAAAAATGATATATAAATAAATCTACTCCACCTTTGAAAATGATGGCCACTGTTTCACCTGTATAGCACAATAATTTACAATAGGATCTGATTTCTGTTTCTACATGGAAGGATATAATTTTATGTTTGATGGAAGATTAAAATAAAAACAGTCACTGAATATCCATGAACATTTTTGTTTTATTGCTACTTAAAAGTGATGCCACAATGCAAGCCTTTCTGTTGTTTTAGTTTTGTTGTCTGTATAATTTGATTCTGGCTGTCGCTGAGCAAAAACCTTAATATCAAGATGTTAAGAATTTACTGTCATACAGTAAATAGTGATATTTCTGATAGCATCTGCAGTTGTGATAAACATTCAAGAAAAAATATATGTACCTATAAACATTTCAAAATGAAAGGAGAACAAATGTATTAACTTTTTAAAACTTTTTGTATTAACCAGCAGTTCTAATGCATTTGTATCCGTACATCTTTGCAGTGAGATTCGTCTCTAGGATGTTTGTTGCATTTTTCTGTCTGGTTGCCAATATGTTGGTGTAAAAGTGTTGCATTAAGGAGCAATGAGGGACAAATCCTACATAAAGCTGTAGCATGACCTTTCATCTTTTTGCAGCTCACATTCAAGCTTATAAATGTGTGAAGACCACAAAGCAAACATGACATTTAGATCTCCTAACCCCACATTGTTGCAGAAAACAAGCAGGAAATCCTGCCGAGCATCATATAATGCTGACAAAGCTTTAATCTCAGATGTTAAGAGTACTGGAAAATATAATCATGGATAATAGTTGATTGTTTTGCTTTCAATCAAACTCACTCTTATTTGAGTTGGGCAGAGTTCATTCCTGTTTGTGTGGTCTGTTGTTTCAAAGAGACGCCATCATGCAGGTGCATTTCCTTTAAAAGAAAAAAAAAAGAGAGAGTCACATCCTTTTGTGCTGGTTTGAGAGATGAGCGTTTGTGGTTTGTGTCGCCAAAAAGTTTTAAAGGACAGTTCAGACGTCCTCGGTTCAGTGCAGCAGCAGATTTGGATGAAATAAGCAGGTTAGATGGATGCAGTGAGATTCAGCATTTTACTGCTACTACTGTGGTTTGGCTGCCAACTGGACTCTACAGGTAACGTAAAAATTGAATTGCTTTGAATTTAATTTTGAGGTTTTTTATCAATATCTAACTATACTTGGATCTGACTTACTTTAAATTCCACTGCTTCATAGATGAGACAGTTTGTCATTCATTGTTCTTTTTTGTTTGCAGCACCTCTTGTAAAAACAATCGGAAAAGAATCTGATTTCACTCCAATCTGCACCAATGAAACGTCAAACATCATCATGATGATTGTGTGTAAAATCAGAACAGAGAGGAACAATAGAGAGGAGTCCAATCTGCTGTATCAGGATGGAGGTGACTTTGTTCATGAGTGTGACTCAAGATTCTCACTAAAAACCAGGAATCAAACTGTGTTTCTGCACCTGACCAGTTTAACAGCAGCTGATAGTGGGAACTACTCCTGTCAGTGTTTAAATCTTAATGGAACACATTTTCTTCATCTCAGCATCACAGTTAATGGTGAGTGGATCTATTTAAATGTTATGTCAAACTCATATGAACCATATATTCTCTAACAATGTTTGTTTTATTTCCAATAGAATCAAATCCTAATAATTCATCAGATGAAGTTTGGAGCCAGTCTGCAGCAGTGACTCTTCCTTCTGCTTTGACTGCTGCAGTTCTAATGATCAAGGTTTCTGTTATTCTGGGATTTATATACAGAAGACGTTCACATCGGTGAGAAACATGCAATATTTTTTCTTTTATTTACACTTAGGCTTATCAACATAAGCAATATTTAAATAAAAAAAAGTACCTTATCTGTAAAAATATAAATCAATCAAACAAGTCAATGTTGCATTAATTTATTTCCCAACAGAAAGCAAATGGAGTCATGCATTCATCATGTAGAGGAGGTAATTTATATTTTAAAAATTGATGCATTATTTTATTGACACATGCAAATTTTTAGGCTAATTCTATGACATGTTTTGTTCTGCAGGACTTGACTGAAATTGAGCCGTACAGCTCCTACACTCAGAAAGAAAATTCTCTTTATTCAACAGCCATTATTGCTCAGCTGTCAAATTAATTCTGATTCTTCAAATTTTTAACAAATTTATCATCATAATTCTTGGGATTTTTTGTTTCTGGCGTATTTCAGATCATTTCCTTTTGATTTATTTATGTCCAACAGGTCTTGACACATTGGGTTCATTTCCCAGTGTTCATTATAAGTTCCTTTGATAAAGACATGTTCATGTGTTCATATAATAAATGTATATGTATGTACATCCATTAACATCCATTAACATGTTTCCAGAGATCTCAGCAGCATGTTGGTTTAGCATAAATGAACAAATCAACAAAGCAAACACAAAGGAAAGTTATCATTTTTGGTCATTTATTTAAAAAAATAAAAAATACATTTGTTAATTTGTGTTGTGTAAAAATAGGTTTGTGTAAACATGTAACATTGCTTGTTTTTGTTTTTATTTACTGTAGGAAAACATAACTGAACAATGTCTCACAAATTTAGAAAAAAAACCCAAACAATTTTAAATTAAGAGTCAGACTTGGTCAGACTATGATCAGCCCTGGTCACCTTTAAACCAAATTAGACATCAGTTAACATCTTTTTGGGTCATCTGTCACTTTTTAACCACATTGTTTTAATAAAAAATGCGGTTTATTTATTGTCTCCCATTTCAAAAAGGGTTTTGCAAAATTGTGCAAGTTTGTTGCATATCTCAATATCTAACTATACTTGGATCTGACTTACTTTAAATTCCACTGCTTCATAGATGAGACAGTTTTGACAAAGCAGCACATGATAAAGATCTTAAGTTTTTTTCTTTAAATTTGTTGAAACATTCAGTAAATCAAATGTCAGAAAACTATTATTAATCTTCTCATCACACTTCCTGAGCTGGTGAGTTGTTTATGTGATATGTGTAAGAAGTAATCGTCTTACACATATTATGTCCTGGATACTTTTGTTATGACATGATTTAATAATAATAATACAAAGAAAAAATACATCTATTTAAAAGGATCTATTTTTAACATAAATAAATGGAAGATAGGTATTTTTGCAGTACATTAAGAGTATTATTACTCATAATGTACTGCATGCTGTAATCTGCAGTGTGACGTTTTTATTTCTCTTTACAGCTCATATTCACGATCCTAAACAAAGCAAAGCAAACATGACATTTAGATCTTAAGTTTTACTAACTAACCCCCTGCTGGGCAGAAAACCAGACAGGAAGCAGGAAAGAACAATTTATAAGAAACTGATTTCTGTAATATTGGAATCTTTTAAAAATTAGAACAGATGTAAAACATTTCAACATGCCATGACAACATGCTGTGTGCCGCCAGCTCTGTTTTGATCCAAGAGGCAACAGCACATTAAAATACATTTCAGTAACGGTTGATATAAATGAGCTTTTATTTCAAGTAAGCTTTTTACCTAACATTGCATTTAAGCTGTAATGTTGAGATGTGCAGAGAGAATTCTAGTTTGTGTTCTGATGTTTCAAAGTGACCCTGTGATGTAGACACATTTCCTTTTCAGGAAAAAAAGTGTTACATCCTCTTGAACCACTTTGAGAGATGACAATTTGTGGTTTGAGTTGTCCAATAAAAGTTCAGAGGATACTTGAGACTCTCTGTTCAGAGCAGCAGCAGATGTTGCATCGACAAGGAGGTCAGATGGACGCAGTGAGAATCAACCTTTTACTGCTTCTGCCGTGTTTTGCATGATATCTGGACTCTGAAGGTAACGTTAAAGTTCAATAATTGAAATGTTTTACATCTGTTCTAATTTTTAAAAGATTCCAATATTACAGAAATCAGTTTCTTATTCATTGTACTTTCCTGCTTTCAGTGACTCTTGTGAAAACAATCAGGAAAGAATCTGATTTCACTCCAATCTGCACCAACAAAACATCAAATATATTGATCATTTGAAAAATCAGAACGGAGAGGAACAATGGAGAGGAGTGCAGTCTGCTCAGTGTGACTCCAGATTCTCACTAAAAACCAGGAATCAAACTGTTTCTGCACCAGACCAGTTTAACAGCAGCTGATAGTGGGAACTACTCCTGTCAGTGTTCAAATCTTAATGGAACAAATTTTCTCCATCTCAGCATCACAGTTAATGGTGAGTGGATCTATGTTAATGTTATGTCAAACTCATATGAACCATATATTCTCTAACAATGTTTGTTTTATTTCCAATAGAATCAACTCCTGATAATAATCCAGCAGATGAAGTTTGGAGCCAGTCTGCAGCAGTGACTCTTCCTTCTGCTTTGACTGCTGCAGTTCTCCTAATTATCATGGTTTCAGTTATTCTGGGATTTATATACAGATATTTACTGTTAAATAGTTATGAACTATTTAACAATAAATATCTGTTATTTACTGTTATTTAAATAACAGTAAATAACAGATATTTATTTAATAGTTAAATAAATATTTAGTGTTATTTAACAGTAAATAAATAGTAATTTATTTACTGTTAAATAGTTAATAACTATTTAACAGTAAATAGTTATTTACTGTTAAATAGTTAATAACTATTTACTGTTTATTTACTGTAACTATTGTTGTATTGTTGTTTTCAGCAGCTGCTAACAACAACAACGCAGTAAAAATCATATTGATCTTTGACAAAACTTAATAGTTTTGTCAAAGATCAATATCATTATTTTATAATGATTATTTTATAATTACATCAACACTGTGTCTCCAGTTATAAAGTTAAACTGAAGGAGAGATTGTTTTATGGTTACAACGGTAACCATAAAACATCAAGTGAAAA